TGTGTGTGTATTGTCAATGAGGAAGGATAGAAATCAGACAGCTAAATTAAGAGTTCTCTATAATTAAAAACTTCTTTATTTTCAATATCTTTATTCTGATATATTTCACTTTTAGCTGAATATTTAGATTATGAATGTCTTATGAAGTTACCTAAAATAGATTATATGCACTTTATTTTGTACCCAAAAAATATTGTAAGATTGTTATTTAATGAAATGAAAGCAAAGGGAAAATGCAATTGAGTCTATTCAGGATTCAGCCTATTTTTCTCAAAATTTTAACATGATATTAGAGCCAAATTTTTGCTCTAACTATCGGTAATCGTTGGAGGACCTTCAAGACTCCCTTCTCGTCGGACTTCTTGCAGGAAGGGATGAACTATTTCTTCTCTTGATTCGCCCATCTGACAAAACCCCTAGCTTAAGAACAGAAAGCACCACTTCAAGCCGGAATTCCCCACGCCTCCCCTCCTGTCGTTTAATGCAGGCAAAATTACTTCTGCAAAGGTGGCTCCTGCGCTGACCGACATCACAAATGGAATTGATGCGCCTTGCCTCCTACCACTTCGTTCCGGCCTGCTTCGTCCTCCTGCGTTCACTTCGACCGCTTCGTCCCGTCCCGGTCTGCTTTGTCCCAATCACTTCGGCTGCTTCGTTCGCTTCGTCCCGAGCTGCTTCGTTCCCCTTTGTTCGCTTTGGTTGTGTCGTCCCCCTTTGATCTTCGACAATGTCATCCTCGCCAGTCTTGGGTCACAGTTTCGAAATCAGCCTCCTCTCCCTAATCCGACTCCTTTTCGACATTCGCGATTGCGTCGAGACGATCGACGACTCCATTGATCGGATGCAAAGATCGGTTAAAGAGATGGAGCGAATGGGGCAATACGGAAGTATATCGTTCGGGTGGCATCTGAATAACGTTCAGACGTGGGTGAGAGCCGCGCTTACAGATCAGAGCACGTCTCGATAGCCTCTCGCTAGACAAAGCGGCGGCAGATGTGCAGCCGGAGATCTGCCTCCATGTTGCGCATGTCTCTCAGCTTACCAGCAATGCGCTCGCGCTCATTAACTGCCTTGATCCCAATAACTGATTCATTCATTTGCAACTCTCGAATTAGGGCTCTTTATGAAATGTTTGCTATTCTTCTCGTGAAGAACAAGTGGAAAAGAAGAATTATGTCTTGAAAGAGATGGAACTTATTCTGAAGTGTAAAATTCATTCATTGTGGAAGCAAGGATTCTTGGGTTGAAAAGGGTTGTTATGTTTGTAATATTATTCGTACAACTCGGATCTTCTTCGCTAGGCATCGCTGCTTCTGGGGCATCTTCGATTGTTTCTTACGCTTCGCTTCGTCCGCTTAAGCTTCGGCTTCGGCACTCCTCTTTCTTAGATCGATGGCTTCGGCTTCGACAAACCATAGATCTCAGGCTTCGGCACTTTTGGACTTTGACACTATTGGGCTTCGGCACTTTCAGGCTTCGGCACTTTTGGGTTTCGACATTTTTAGGCTTCGGCATTTTTAGGCTTCAGCTCTTTCGGGCTTCGGCATTTTTGTGCTTCGGCACTTTCAGGTTTCGGGCTTCAACACTTTTGAGTTTCGACGCTTCTGGGCTTCGGAATTCTTAGGCTTCGACAAAACTGTGGCTTCGACACTCTTAGGCTTCGGCATTTTCAGGTTTCGTCACTCTGAGGCTTCAACACTCATGACTTAAGGATTTTGTGTCCCGAAAATGTTATCAGCTTCTTGTTGGCAAATTAATGCTTCCTAATCAATCAACATCAATTTGAGGTGGGATGTCAATTAGGAAAGAAGGAAAGGAGACAGCTAAATTAAAAGTTTTCTATAATTAGAAGAGAAGGAAAAGAGACAGCTAAAT